TATTACCGTCAGCTCACTTGAGTGGTAGTCAACAGACGATGCATTTTAGGATCTTGTGGTGCAGCCGGGGAACCGATCGGACCACCACCAAAAGGATTGCTCACGGAGAAAACGCGTCGCGACGCGTCACTGAGTTCACAAGGTGGTAGACCCATGCCGGTCACGCGTAGCAGCTTGTCTTCATACATCCCCTCGACCAAAACGATACAACCCTCGGGAAATAAGCCCTGTGAAATTCGTGGGTAGGTAGAAACTTTCAACGGAAATGTATGGTTTTTGGACAGAACAAACAATCAAAAGTAGATGCAGTGTTCCTGATTTCATTGTGCTTCACTGCAGAGATATATGGCGGGAAGGCTAGCTCATTATTTTCAAAACCGGCTTTATCCTTATTTTGTAGATTAAGGTATTTGGTTATCCAATATTTCACGGTTTTATTTCTACTTTTGAGTTCGCCAGAATTTTCCGGGGTTCTGTGCAAACGGCTACCGACAACACAACCACAAACACACACCAAATGACTGGTTGTGTGGACTAACAAATTATTTTCACGATCAAAAAAGTACTTGATTGGACATCCCCAGGTATATATACATCAATAGTGAGTGTGCAGTGGGTACAGCACGCATTCGAACATCCAGAGCTGCCAAGCTAATTCAAACTACATGGACTGTTTTCCATCCACAGTTCAGTACTGCTTTCGGAAAGATCACTTTTATAAATAATGTTTTTGGGAGAAACCATCAAGTTTGAACCACTGAGTCCCCTTTATCCATTTCGTCAATACAGAAAGAAGACAAATGTCGCAAGATGTTAACATTTTGTTGAATCTTATCAGTCGCTCACATAAAACAAACAGGCACATATATAACACATGGGGTTGTTCAATTATGGTGAATAAACGTGTAGAAGCATACACCTTTTGCAAAACACCTCATGAGAACGACACAATTTGTCTTTCAAACCATTATTACGCAATCGCAATCCTAAACTTCTGGCAATTGGTGAAGCGCTGGTCACCAGCGTCAGTTTCTTACATAGCTACTCTGGCAACAACCACAAACCCACCTTCTGACGCAGAAATCCGTAAGGAGATACAAGCCTAGGGACGTAACAAAGCGCCAGGCTCCGATAACCTTCCCCCAGCTCTACTTAAAGATCGTAGAGCAAAGCTTGTTGGATAATTGGTGGCTATGTTCTCTAAAGTCCGGCACACTGAGCAGGTAACCTCTTCATGGGGGGAATCGATTGTCGTTCCCATCTTTCGAAAGGACCCGCGCGGTGACTACGCCGACCATAAGCCTGATCCCGATAGCGTCAAAGCTGTTGGCGGCCATCATTCTCCGGCGACTGCACATTATGCGTGAGGAGCAGGCTGGATTTCGCGCCCATCATGGATGC